ACACACATAGTTACATAAAACAGATCTAAAGATTTTAAATCATTTCAACGTGTCCGATTTATTTGAAACATAAACATCTTAGTTAGAACAGCTGATTCAAACTATGGGATTTAATCCAGCTAAATAAGCATTATAGTATGTTTCTTGTAAATATACCCCGAGAACACGCTCACCTCCACTACAGTGACCTCTCCTGGCTGCAGCACGAAAAGAGACGGGCTGATCGCAAAGGGTGGCTGCTCAGAGAAGTGAGTTCTCGCCAGACACTGTATGAAGAAAAGAAAGAACAGACAACACAAATTTAAAAAACATACTTTTTATATCACTAAACCTTATTTCTTTACCGTCTTACCTAACGATTGTTACAAGGTGCTTCAGAGATTATACGTTGTAGGTGTCAAGGTGGCGAGTGATGAGAGAAAATATTTTCAAGAAGCTTAAACCCACAGAATGAAGGAAAAATAAGTATCAAATGAAAACAGATTTGTACCCTCAGGTTGGAGGCTGGCCACTGGTTTTTGGGGACGATGCAGAACGTCCCGGCGCTGACGCCAACATTTTGGCACAGGAACTCCACGAACTTGACTCCTCCGATCAGACAACAACCACACTCCAGAACTCTTGGTACTGCATGATAATACGGGGACATCTTATTATGCATGGCACAGGGAATATGCAGGAATCCTGAAGTCAGATGTAATCCCTTTGAAGACCTTTTCTAAGACCCTTTCCATACATTTTAAGACCTCATCGCCATTTTGAGTTCTAACCGGTTACCTTGGCGACACACTTTACCTCACATTGACTATATACAGTATTGATTGTCCTTCCTCCTTATCTTCCAACCATTTGGACGCAGACTTGCATTTCCCCATAACGATGTTGTTTAACAACCGGCGTAAACGGGCCTTCGCGCTATCCAGCAGTGAGAGCGCGATGTCCTGTTCAGATGATGTCAAATCCAACGAGATACCATAAATAAACTACACAGAATCTCACTACAGACCTACGCAATGATTACATTCAGGCACACTGTAGAATACAACCTCTTTGGACCATTTATATACTTATTGAAAACAAGCTACAAAATGTAATACCTTGGAAAATGCTGTTTAATACTTTTTAATAGTCTTAATTTTCGCTAAATTGATTCATCAACTTTTAATACTTTTCAAGATCCCGTGGACACCCTGATGGCAGTATAAAGTACACAAACAAAGGAAAGTTGGTAGATGGTTATGAGACCCACATGTGAGTATTGGAGGGGGTCTTCTGGCTATGACGGGCACCACAAGCAGCTGCTCAGCCTGGGTCTCCACCACCAGGAAGTCCTCAAATTCCCCCAGAGAGTTTGGAGCGAAGCGCAATGTGTACTTACAGCTCATCCCCGGGGCAACAACACCCCCCTCACCCGGGAACCTCCCTGCAAGACATACCGGAAAACATACATTCCTTCAGAGTTCAAATCTATATTATAATTCAGAATGTTTGTATCCCGGGGGAAATGTTCTTGTGTGACAGATGCTCAAATTTAGAAATAAATAAAAATGAAAAAAGGTAACTAAAAAAAATAGAAGTAAGATATTTATATTACTACAAAGAAGAATGAGTAATAGAAAGATAAATAAAGATATTTATAGAAAATAAAAAGTGAAATAAATACAAAATCAAATATTTATAGAAAAATCAGAAATAAAAATAAAAAGTCCAATAAAATGGAGTAAATTCTAATATTTGTATTAACATAAAAAGACCAGATAAAATGAATTGAAGATATGTATATAAACACAAGAAGTTAAAGTAAAAATACACTTTGTACCACAACATATACCATGTAGATTACACTGTATATAATGGTGTATTCTATTAGTTTGAATAGATATGAATGCTAAATTACACAGTTTAATGGATGGAGTAATGCCAGTCTCATACAGTAGGTGGCGCTGATGTTCACACACAGGAGAGCAACAGCAACACAGGAATGCCAAAAACACCTTTTGCATTCCAGACACTTAATCTTTCAAAACACCCCGGCATTCCTTCTGATACAGTCACCGACATCTGGCACACTTTAATGACTACAAGCAGGGTTTAAAGGGGACCTATCATGCAAAATGCACTTTTGTACGTCTTTTCTACATGAACATGTGTCCCCGGTGTTCCAGGGAACTCACCAAGTGTCAGAAAACACAACCCTCTCTATTTTCCTCCATACCCAAATCTCTTAAAAAGGGGCTGCAACGGATCTGATACAGACTGATCCAGATTTGAACACTTCTATGACGTCACAGAAGTGGCGCTACGGCTATTGGTCCAACTCCACCAATCAGGAGGAGACAGCCACGGACATTGCCGTTGGAAAGCGCTGGATACGCTGTAGTACATATGCCAGGCCTGTAGATGGTGCTGTTCTCACAGAATCAGCCCATGATGCAAAGACAGTGTTAAATTGAGCGAAATGAGGAATGGCTAAAATGCATGATCTGTTTGGTATTTTGAAAAATAAAAAGTATAAACATGCCTTATATAGGTATGGTCCTACACTATATTATTCAAATATAGCATGATAGGTCCACTTTAACCATTCACCCTGAGTTTGTGTGTGAAAGACTCACAATGTGATATATTACCTTATGCTTTTGTGTTGTTCAGCACCTTGTGACAGTATGTGCGCTTAAAACAAGCAGAAACAACCGTTCTAAAATACACGAGAACAACTCCTTTAATCTTTCAACCTGAGTTTGTGTGTGACAAAAAAACGACTCACAATAAGATATGTTTGCGTCAATATATTTCATTAAAACAAAGTGGGGGCAGTATTTATATTTGGAGGGGGGATAACATATGTTATAAGAGTTGTTTCCAGATGTTATCAGGGAGGCGTGTGGTGCAGTGGGTTAGTGCGCTGATCTTCGAATCAGAGGATAGCAAGTTCAAGTCCCACTGCAGTCAGCATGTCGTTGTGTCCCTGAGACACTTCACCCCAAAGTGCTCCTGTGGGGATTGCCCACAGGATTGAGTATGTAAGTCGCATTGGATAAAAGGGTCTAACAAGTGACATGTAATGTAATCAGAGTTGTTTCCAGATGTCATCAGAGTGTTTCCAGATGTGATCAGAGATGTTTCCAGATGTGATAGGAGTGTTTCCAGATGTCATCAGAGTTGTTTCCAGATGTCATCAGAGTT